AAAATAAAAACGTACGATTTTTACGAAAACGCAAAACGCAAAAGTAAATGAAAATGAAAAATTTCATTACGAATATACTATAAAAAAGCAAATTTTGTTTAGAAGAAAATAGGAAATTTTATATTTTTCCCCCGAACGGGGATTAATTTCTTCCCGTTTTTCTTCTTATTCTACTGAGGTAGTGTCAAAATCGAGCTATAACAACTGATACCACCTTGTATTATTGCATCACGAGGAATTTTGACATTTTTGATACTTCATAACCTGTTGCCTCACTCTTTCCTCAAGAAATAATGGAACGGGCATATATTTCTGTTGCAAAACCTGGGTTGCCTTGTGCTCTTTTTCACAAAAAACTTTAGAAAACCGTAGTAGAAAACGTAGCAAATTCCTTAAGTGTGCTTTTACACAGTTCAAATATTGAATTCAATTCTGCTCGGGCATGGAAGAGAGGGGGTGAGAAGAAAAGGGACGAGTACACATGCGTCTGTACCGTCAAGTCGTTTCAACTTTCTTGCTTTGCTTTTGGCATTTTCGTTGCTTCCCATTTAAAGAACCAAAGACTTGAATTCAACAGAATTGAAACGTGTAAAAGCAAATAAAAAACACAAAAGAGAATGAGCAAGAATTGCTTTCAAGTACTTGAATCATGTAAATCAGGTGTAAGAACTGCGTACTGCTCACGGTGCAGCGTACTTGTGCAGTGCACTTGTGGTACACAAACGTCAATAGCCAAGACGGCGCAATCTTGTATTCTATCATTCTTGCGTACTGCCTTAAGGAAATTTGACTCAAGAAAATTTCTGAGCCATTTCTTGTACGTCATTTTATATGGAGTTTTTGCTTTTCTTGGTAGCTACATACTGGCCTTTAACGGGTCGTATGCTGCACTTCTGCCTAAATTGGCCTTAAGGCGTACGCCACACAAATCGAAGAAGCTCGACCAAATAGTTGGCAAAAAAGCAAGAACGTAAATCTTTACGTTATTACGTCTTGGTCGGCAGTCTATTTCGAACCAGTATTTTAAGTAAGAACGGCAACTCTATGAAAAAACGTCATTTTGACAACTTTTACTTTGACATTTATCTTTTCTTACGAACGTGCTTTCGTTGGAACACATGGTGTTTTGGCCAAATTTCCGAGTTCTTCAGAGTTCGAGATCTTCAGATTATAAAATAATTAGCACACTATGGCGGAGGTTTTTCATCGGCCGGGTCCGTTGAAACAAACCAATAAAGCCCATAAAACCGGGCGACATCGGTCGAAAGGAGCTATTGAAAGTGCATTAAAGGGACGTGTTTCGCTTAAAGCGGTGTCACACAAGCACAAACAGGAACAACGCAGAGAGCAGCGTCGCAACCAAATGAACCAAGTGCGTATCTTAAAATTGATCTTTACTCTTTTAAAAGTAGTTGTTGTATACAGATTCGAAAAAAGAAGCGTGAAGAAGCGAGATTGGAAAAACAACAGTTGGGAACTCAAGCCGCTCCGCCGTTTTTGGTTTGTATATTGCCAATGCATCAACAAATCGATGCAAGATCTGCATTAGCTATACTAGAAAGTTGTGATGAGGAAGCTGTGGTCCAACGCACAGAAACGGGTGTTACGTATATAAATCTACCACGCTTTAAACAGCGCTTTTCCTTCTTAATTCCCCCCATTGGACGAGGCAATGAAGTGGAGGTATTAGATTACTTAAAAGTTTGTGATACCACACTACTTTTAACTTCTGCGGCCATGGGAGAGAACGATGTATTCGATCGTTGGGGACACCGTATTTTTAACATGATATCTGCTCAAGGTCTACCTACTCCTATTGTGGCACTAATGGATTTAGAGTCGATCAATCCCAAAAAACGGAGCGAAATGAAAGCCTCTGTTCAAAAATTTATATCCAAACTACTACCAAAAGAAAAAGTAATGCAGCTAGATACCAATGCTGAAGGTCTGAACGTTATGCGTCGCATTGGTGGACAAAAAAAAATTGTAATTCCAAATAAAGCGAACCGGCCGCATTTATGTAGCGATAAAGTTGAATATGAATCTGATCCGAACCAATTAGATGACAAAATTACTTTAAAAGTAACAGGCTTCTTACGCGGTGCACCTCTTAGTGAAAACTCACTTGTTCACATTCCTGGTTTGGGAGATTTTCAGATGCAACAAATTAAAACTGCATTTGATGACTACAAGTTAGATAAACGGCCCGAGTCGCAGCTAGTTCCTGTTATTCGGGTATCGGACCACGAAAATCAAACATCTTTACAATGCGAAAATGTACCAGACGCTATGGATGCAGAACAAACGTGGCCAACTGAGGAGGAAATCAAAGCAGCACAACAAGAAACCAAAAAAACGAAATTGATTAAACGTGTACCCAAAGGGTGGAGTTCGTACCAGGCCGCATGGATACCTGACATCGAAGCAGTAGAAGCCACAGAAGATGCAAGTGAAGAAGACATGAACGAATCTGATGACGAAGAAAATGCAGGGGACGATGAATTTATGTCGTGTGAAAATCAGTCCTTTGATGAAGAAGTGCAAAAACCCGATTCTGATACAGAGGAGTACGTAGAAACTGCTTCAGTATCTGACGCTGCGATAAACGACGAAAAATATGATCTGCAAATGGACTTCCACGAAGAGCGGGAAACAATGAAAAAAATAAAAGATGCTCGCGTTGATGAGCTATGGCCTGATGAAATTGATACACCTCTAGATGTCGAAGCGAGGGACAGATTTCAAAAATATCGTGGGCTAGAATCGTTTAGGTAATAAAAATACTAAAGTAGCAGCTTAAAATTTCTAAGTATTTTTTCTTATTAGAACATCGCCATGGGATCCAAAAGAAAATCTGCCTTATGACTATGCTCGCATCTATCAGTTTCAGAACTTTGATCGGACAAAACGGCGAATCGTTTCGGAGGCCAAAGACGTTGATGGATTTAAGGTAAAATGTCTGATTCCCAACTGAAAAAGGTTGTAAATTACGGATGTACTTATTTAGCACGGCGCTTACGTAACAATGTACATCATAAATGTACCAGGCGAAAAGTGGCGAGCTTATATATCGGCTCGTAAGTGTCAATATCTTGGTGATATATGGGCTACTCCCTCATGAACATCAAATGTCTGTGGTGAACGTTGTACTCAAACGGTTACCCGACTCAGAGGCCCCAATAAAATCGAAAGAGACCTTAATCATACAGTGTGGTTACCGCCGTTTTATTGTTAATCCCATCTTCAGTCAACACACCAATGGCGATAAGCACAAAGTAAGCCAAAATACCAAAATTATTAAAACGAAAGTACTAAATCGTTTGCATAATTTTATTTTTTATTTTATAGTACGAACGCTACTTTCGGCCACATACAACGTATGTGCTACATTTTTTGCGCCAATACAGTTCCCTCCTGCACCTGTGTTAGCATTTAAATTAAATCCTGATTCAACTTTAGCGTTGGTTGCACGCGGTTGTCTGTTATCTTGTAATCCTGATCGTGTTGTGCTTAAGCGCATCGTTTTGAGCGGACATCCAATGCGTATCAACCGCAAATCGGCCACTGTACGTTATATGTTCTTCAATAAGGAAGATGTGGATTACTTTAAGCCGGTTAAGCTACGCACAAAATGTGGACGCTTGGGGCATATAAAGGAATCCCTAGGAACACACGGACATATGAAATGCGTATTTGACGGGCAGCTTCGCTCGTATGACACGTTTTTATGTATCTCTACAAACGAGTTTATCCTAAATGGACCTATGAGGAATGCTTAATACGCTGTGAAAAGGACGAGGAAAACCCTGAGGATGTAAAAATGGAATAATTCAAATTGTAAATAATTTCAGAAGTAAATATTAATATAAATGAGCTCATATGTATTTACTTAAAAAAGTGTAAGCCTTATTAAAAAACAAAATAGATAATTCACTTTTCTTACAACAAAAATGTGGGCATCATTTTTGTTATTTTTATTTATATATGTACGTGTAAATGCAGCAAACCAAAATGCCTATTGGTCTAAAAGGGCGATATTGGCAGAGAACGTACAGTCAATCAATAAAGTTTAGGTACAGCGATTTTTTTGCAATACGGGCAACTGTTTTTTAACCATTATATTTTTCTCAAATTTTTATAAAAATATGTTTAAATCTAGAGCATAAACCCCAAAAATCAGAGCTCCAAACCTTGTGCAAAATTAAAGAATGTGCAAATTTTCATTAAAATGTTGCACTTTTTAATAACAGTCTTTTGAAAAAAGTTTAGTATGCAGTCTTTGATCCCATTCAATTTTAGTATAATAAAGTACAAGTCTTAAACTATGTTCACATATCAATATTATCTCAATCAAAGCTCGTTTTTTAATCACCCCGTTTACACAGGCAAATCTCAGATTATTAGCCGTCAAATATGTTGTGCTAGTTATTCTCACATCTCAAGGAAATTTTTTTTTTTCTTTGTGCCACCGTATTCACGTTTTTCTGCTATAATAAGCAATATAAATATATTTTAACATAACATTTTATTAAAAATACCTTGTTGCTCGTATTGCAAAAAAATCGCTGTACTCTAACTTTATTGATTGACTGTACAGAAATACATAGAGAACGTTTCCTCGATTCAAAGAACGTAAATATACTTGGTTATTTTATTTTTAGCTAGTCACTAGATGTCGCTGTTTCATAAATCTTTTCTGAGAAATTTCTCAATTTCGGTTCATTTTTAACCGAGAGATGTCGTCGTTTTTCCACAAAAATGACAGCTGCCTGACATACAAATAGACAGACGTGTCAATTGACATCGAAATGAAGATTGGTGTTTTGTTCGCGGCGCAGAATATTTTTACTTTTTTTTTTAATTTGAGTAAAAATTTCAACAAATTTTAAACAACTAAGTACTCCGTCTCCACAAAGGATACTGTATTCGCGCGGAGAAACCTGAAGACGCATTAGTAAATATTTGTCAAATACGGCAGACGGAAAACGTTTTGAGTCAACATGGCGGGGCAAAAATTTCAATACGATGAAAGCGGTGGCACATTTTATTATTTTCTATTATCCTTCTTGGCATTAATACTTGTACCAACGACTATTTATTATTGGCCACGTAAAAAGAAGGAAGGTGAGTAATACTGAGTACCAGTTTCGATTGGGCTGCTCCCCTTGCAGTTTGCGGTTAATAAGTTGGGCAAGTAGATCAGATAGGAAAGGTAGCAACTCAACGGGGCTATAAATGACACGTTCTATTAAGAAGCACAAAAAGTCGTGTTGTGGTGAAAGCGGCTTAAATTAGCAGCACTAAATATCACGATGCGACGACATCAGTCAATGAAAAGCTTGGCGGAATAATCCAATAAGAAAACANAGAGCTTGCTTCAATTGTAATAGATTGAAGACCCGCGGGGACGGAAGTACATTTTACAATTATTATTCATAGCAAGTTTTCACATAAACTATGCGGTTAGGGTTTGAAAGAAACTTTGCCAATGATTATTAACTTGCATTTTGTCACACATAAATTGTCTGTTTAGAATTTCTTAAAGTATCTAATATATTACAGCGTTTAAGCAGTTCACTTAAAAACATTTTTTATTTAAATTGTATGTATCTATGTATATATGTTTTATTTTTAATTACAGATCCTAATAAACTTAAAGAGGAATGCCAATGTCCGGACTGTATAAGAAAGAAAGCCATCTTGGCACAAGCGGAGCCATACCGTATGCTGAAGTCATTCCTTATAAAGCTATGTATAGTTTTTGGTTGGGCACTACTCATATTACTGGCTTATCGCGTTTCGCAATTCGATTATGAAATGGCCAGTTTTGATCCATTTGAGATCCTGCAGCTGCCACCAACTGCAACTATGGAAGAAATAAAAAAAACTTACCGCGAATTGTCACGAGTCTTACATCCGGATAAGCCAACTGGAGATGAGAAATCCTTTATGATGCTGCGCAAAGCCTATCAGGCTCTCACCGATGAAACAGCCAAACAGAATTATGAGAAATATGGTAATCCAGATGGGCCAGGTGCTATGTCGTTTGGCATAGCGTTGCCTTCATGGATTGTGGAAAAAGAAAACTCGGTTTGGGTGTTGGGACTTTATGGTTTGATCTTCATGGTGGCTTTACCATCTGTTGTGGGCATGTGGTGGTATCGTTCCATTCGTTTTTCTGGTGACAAAGTTCTTTTAGATACCTCGCAAATGTATTTCTTTTTCATACATAAAACGCCACATATGCTGCTGAAGCGTGCGCTCATGATTTTAGCAGCTAGCTTGGAATTTGATAAACGGCACAACTCGCAAGTAGTCGAGCGGCAATCTGACAATGAAGAAGTACCAGCAGTGAGTACAAGTAGCTATGTAAAATAGTTATACTTTTATTACTTAAGCATTATTTTTTTATTAATCAGCTCATTAGGCAACTGCCTAATTTGAATGAGAAGTGCAAGGAACACCCTCTATGCCGAATGTATTCCATTAAAGCACGAGCAATTTTACATGCTCACCTATCACGCATTTCATTGAATCCAGAAACTCTAGAGAAAGATCGGCAGTTTATTGTAAAAAAATGTCCATATCTTATTCAAGAAATGGTTTCCTGTGTACATCAGTTGGTAATGTTGGCATACGCGAGACGAGTTCCACGTCTTCCGAGCATTGAAACAATAGAAAATTGTATGAAACTGTCACCTATGATTATACAAGGTCTATGGGAGTACAAATCCCCCTTACTTCAGTTACCTCACCTCACAGAAGACCAACATCTTTACTATATAAATAAAAAGCGGCACATCAAGAATTTGCAACAATTCGCACAGTTGAAACCCGATGAATGCAGACAGTTGTTAAAAAGTCTTTCAGATTTTGAGTACGAAAATGTAATGAAAGTGCTGGGAAAATTGCCATTGATTGACTTTTCCATTCGTTGCGAAGGTAAATTAATTATAAATAAGGAAGGCACAACTCAGCTGAATTTCATATATGTACATAATTTGCAGTTATTGATGATGAGAATACTAACGTAGTAACAGCAGGAGCTATAGTAACTGTTACCGTAACGTTGGTACGTAAAGATATGAAGACGTTATTTGGAGATGCAAAAGTACCAGAAAAGCAGGGTATCAAGTAAGTGCATTTTAACTCTGACATTAGCTGCGTTCGATAACTAAATTAGTTATTACCAGCCATCAATCCAAATCAGGAGCGAAGACGTTAAGGCGGATGCATCGTTCTAGTTCTGAATTAAAGTCGAAGTTGAGTTCACAAATCAAAAGCATTCAGAACTTTTCTCATCCCAGAGAGAAAAACACAACAACAACCACATGGAAGATCTAACTATAACGATGAATCCGCCGTTAACGAACATTATATTATGTATGTATAACCGACATAAAAGGAATCATTAATTATAAAGGCATGTTGCCTTATTAAAATTCCCATTTATAGAACTCATATCTTGATCAAAAATTAACCTCTTTGCAGACAAATTTTCAGTAATTCGTGCTCCGTTACTTTCATTTCACTTTTATTTGGCGTTGCTTTTTGTTTTCGCTTAAATTGATCTTTATAACTTTATGTTTTTTTTTGTGTGAAATAATTTGAAATGGCGCATTTTAATAATAATAAATACAAAGGAGCGGAACTTTCATCCAAAACAAAAAAAAAAAAATAAAAAAATTTTTAGGTAGCAATTAAAATTAGTGTTAGGCAGTATCGACACCAAAAGTACTCAGAACTCGATTCGCGAAAGGATCGACAGCATCCAATTTTTAAAAGTACCGATACTGAGTACTCCAAAGTACCCAGTACTCACAAGGGAACTCGAAAGTACTCAGAAACTAAAAGAACTCGAAAGTACTAAGTACTTTTAAAGAAGCCATTCATTTGACGTAATTTGGGAGTAATATATTAATTTGAATAAAGTGCTACCAACTTATTAGATTTTTACACTAATCATTGAAATGTTACCAACAAGTGTANAAATACCCGATCCTTAAAAGTATGGACACCAAAGAACTCGATCCTCAAAAGTACTCGATATTTCCCAACACTAAATAAAAATGTTGTTGTAGCGGCTACTCGTTTCATCCATCAACGTTGTCGTCTGTTTCAGCTAAGGGGAGGCCCAGGAAGTGCGCAACTTCAACAGAATCTGTTCATAGGGACAAATGTTGAATTTGTTTACTAAACAAGTGTTTATTTTCCGTTTTTGCAGAAATATATATCGTAGATGTTTTTGCAAAACCGCCCATCGACCAAATTTTACAGGAGAGCGCACTTCTTTAAAAAATAATGCCGGATTTTCACCAGACATTAATGGGTCGATTACGGATAGCAACGCAGCCACGGTTGGGTTGCCAGCCGGCAACGCAACTGGAAAAAAAAAATTTATTACGAATGGCATTTATCGTTTGACAGTTCGGCAACCGGCAAGTGGTTGTAAACAAGCTGTGCTAGTAAAATGAAATTATTAAAATAAACTGTTTTAAATAAAAGTCAGCAATAATGCTAAGTTTAGTTCAATTATTGGTTTAAGAAGAGAAGTGCAAGAACGCGGCCTCGAATCATGCGACGTTTGGAGGATAGCTCCAACCCTCTAAGAGCTACCGCCGGCACTGCAAGCACTGTTTTATTTTATCTTTTTGTGTTCATATTCAAAGCATATTCCAGACATTCAAAAGAAGCTGTAGTATATTTGGTTAATGCACAGAAAAACGACTTCAATCAACTTCCTCTTCAATTTTTATCAGAAAGAAGTTCCACAGCAAATTACTTCAATTTAGGGAATTCGGTATGTCGGTAGTTTTAAAAGAAGTACTTCAGTTGATAGAGGAAAAAATTTGCAGTCAGTTCACTTTTGATTCTCCAAAAGCACGTTCATCACGAGAACTGAAATTTCAAATTGTTGTTTTGTGGTTATTTTCACGATATTATGTAAAAGCAAAATACATTGCAAATGTTAATATCGTTTAAACTATAAAAAACTAAACTAATTTGACATGCTTTTCAAGTTTTGCTCCTAAATAGGCTCCAAAAACCTTCCCAGCAACCACAAAAATGTAGTTGCCTGAATACACACTTTGTGGCAACTGCAGTTGCCAGTTGAGAGTTGTCAGTTGCCATCTGTAATATCGTTTCGACAAGTAGCAACGCAACTGAAGTTCGGTTGCTATCGATAATCGACCCATAAATTATCAGAAATGGCAATGGCAAAGTTAGACATTGAACAAAAGTATGTTCCACATGACATTGTTTAAAAGCCACGCATTTTTTGAGCTAGTGGAAATTTAACTAAAGGAATATAAAATAATCGATTTTTCTGGCTCAAAACTTGCTTATAACTTAGTTGCGATATTAAATAAAAACTTGTTTAGAAGTTATTATTTGGTTTTCCCTAAACATCCAACCCTTAATTACAATTATTTAAGTGACCACAATAATTCTCAGAAAGTTACTATATAATCTGATTTTCATGTGATAATTTTCTCTTATATAGGGATGATGAAGAGGCAACAGGTGGTGGAGACGATGAAGAAAATTCAGCTGCTGCTGCAGTACCCGTTAAGAAACCATCTGCCTGGGGAAAGCAACGTAAAGGAAAAGGTGGCAAAGGTGGTAAAAAATCCGCAAATAACCAAAAGCGCAAAGCACCGGCCAACGCCGCACAACATAATAAAACGCCTGTTTCAACATCCTCTGCAAATGCAGAGGCACAAGAACAGAACGAAGACTCAGACTCTGATGCGGACGCCAGCGATGGGGAGGAAAAGGATTTAACTGGAGACGAATCCGACAGCGATAAACCACAAAACAACAAGAGCGAAGCTTATGATGATGATGATGACGATGAGGCTTGGGAAAGGCTTCAGGCCAAGCTAAACAAGCGTGAGAAGCTTGAAGGTAAATCACGCATATCTCATACAGTGCACTGTCCCTACTTCCCAGAGGAAAAGCAAGAATACTGGTGGACATATATCTGCGACCGGAAATCGCGCTCGCTTCTCACGGCGCCCTACCACGTCACCAGTCTTGTGGATAAGGAGGAAATACAGTTGAAGTTTACAGCACCGCGTTGGCCGGGTCTGTACACATTCACGGTCTGTTTAAGATCAGGTAAGTGAAATATGATTGTTTATGAAAATTGGCTGTGACCCTTTGCATGTAAAACTTCTTTTAGACTCCTATCTTGGCATGGATCAACAGCAAGAGTTGAAATTGGACGTTAAGAAAGCGCCCGTCCCACCTACAGATCACCCACAATGGGACCTTAGTGAATCGGAGCCCGAAAATAATGAACAGCATGACAACTCTAGCGATTTCACGACTGATAGTTCCGAGGACGAGGGTACCGACTAGATATATTAGAATGCTAGCATTTTATTTTATAATTTTATCATATTTTCACAATGCTTTAGTTCATGTTTTTTTTATATTCTTGGTTTACAAATTCTCACATCCTTATGCGTTTTGAATTGATTGGAAATATGATAATAGGAGTACTGTCGATATGATTCCATCGACATAACACACATTAACTAAGATTAAGAATAAATTTTAGGAACATATAATTGACATGGTTTTAGTAAAAAATACTTACATGTAGATACATCTATTTGAGCATTTGTCAAGAAAAATTAAATGAAATTGTAAAACAGACTACAAGTTTTTTTTTAAATGGTAGCATTTATGCTAGTTTTGTATTACTTATAAAATCCAATTTTACAATTTGAAATCAACACAGTAAAAGCAAATATTGAAGGTGTTTAATGATTAAAATTTATAACAAATGGAGGCAATTACATTCTTGTTTAATATTCGACTTTTGCCGGTGATGATGGTCGTCATTAGTGTAAAAACATAAACGTAAAAATAAATTCACAGAAAATAAAAAAGAAATAAAACTAAAGCAATTGTTTTTCTCCAAAACCATGTTGAGCACTGGTTAATTGATGAACCACCGCTTCAGAATGAGCAGATGCATGTGTTTTTGCTCTCAATTAAGACATCCTCCAGAAGAATACCGCAACCTCTTGTTGGGATCTACACATTTTGCTGCTGAACGAGCTACCGAAAGGCAAAAAAAATATATACAAATACCTTCATACGCATTTTGAAGTGAAAATAGAAATTAATATTTATATTACGATAAGCAGTGAGGGTTTGGATGCGGTACTCGGAAGAAACCTGGAAAAAATTCAAGCTGTTACAAATTCTGTAAAAAAGGAAGGATTACTGTGATATACTGTGAATGGAAATGAAGCATTAAATTAAGTTAACGATGTGCTAAACAGTCTGCCGCTCGACGAATTCTATTATTGTAAATACATATTAATCATTCGACTTATTCTTTTTGTGGGTCTTCTTCGCTCGTTTCAGTTTCCTTTTCGTCATCAAGGATAGATTCCGATTTCTTTTCTGCAGTTTTATCAGCTTCTATTGTGTCTGTTGTTTCAACTTCCTTTTCATCTTCTTTCGCTAGATCTAAATTTTCTGCTTTCTTATCTTTTTCGTTTTCACTTTTACTATCTTCATCTTCTCCACTCTCATTTTCATCTTCTTCAATATTATCTACATTTCCTATTTCTTCCTGCTTTTTCCCTTTGTCTTCCGCTTCGCTGTCTTCAACCGCTTTGGTTTCCTTTCCTCGATCTTCTGTAGCTTCCTTTAAATTTTCTTCGTTTGTATCCTTTTCATCTGTACTCGCATCGTTTTCCGCAACAGGGGCTTGCCTTTCTGTTCCATTGTTAACATGTTTCGAGTTCTCGCTGTTTTCTACTTTATTTGGCTCGTCTTTCACTTCTTCTTTATCTGTTTCAGTTTCATTGTTGTCTACTTCTGAAGTATTGGACTCATCTTCATCATTTTCTTCCTTATCGGCACTATTTCCCTCTTCAACCGCAATTTCTGCAGTTTTCGCATTTCCTTCCGTTTGGTTCTCTTCCGGATCATTTTCGCTCTTCGCCGCATCGCCTTTATCACTTTCTTTAGCGACTTTTTCTTCAGGCTTTTCATCAGATTTATCTGTTTAGTATTGCAGTATTGTAATGTGGTGGCTGGTTTTTAAATACCAATTCTGAATACCATTGTCTTTTACCTTTAATTTCTTCCGTTTCAGGTTTCACATCTTCACTTTCTGTTTCTTCATTTACATTTTCTTCTCCATCAGATTTCTTTTCTGTTTCTTCCGTCTAACTTTTAATGAATTTGTTACATGGCCAGGTTTAATGTGGAGGTAGAGGTAGGTAAAAATTGCAATGAAAGGAAAGATATGTACAAATTTAGTTACGAAAAATGTGGCAATGAATGATCAACGGGCCCTTTCCAAAGTATTGCGGAGTCAATTCTTTAGGAAATGCTCTTGCACTTACAGTTACTCACAGAAGTATTCGTTGTTTAGTTTTTTCACGGTATTCAAAATGTTTTCCATTGCAAATTTTTTCCTTTATTTTTATTTAAATTGCTGCCATTCTATAACAAAAACCATATAAATCAAATTGCAAGCTTTCTGCAAAATTCGCAAAAATTCAGCGAGTCAGATTTTTGGAATTTTTTAAGTTTGCAGTTTTGTAGTCTATTAAATTTTACATTAATAAAGGTTAAGTTTTAAGTGTCTAGGCATTATCTTTGGTCTTTTTTTCGCTGACAGTGTCCCCCGTTTTCTTCCATATAAAAATATTTTTTTTTATGCTTTGCATAGTAAGCAGTAAGTCCTAGCCACTTAAAAATTGCACTTTATTATGCTAAAATTTAATGGGCTACAAAATTGCATACTCCAAAATTCCGATTAAAATGTGTGAAATTTCGATGGCCATTTTTTGAAACTCGCTGCATTTTTGCAAATTTTGGAGTAAGCTTGCTACATTGATTTATACGGTTTTTGTTATGAATGAATGCTTCTATGAGTAACTGTATATAAGTAAACAGACAAAGAAAATTTGTTATGGCCCGGGGACGAGGCAATGTTTACCAGGCTATTTTTTTGGGGGGTTATTGAAACTGAAATTATTGTCCATTTCGTGCCGTCTTTGCAAGCATATAAAATAATAAATAAAATAAAATAAAAAAGTTTGTATACAACGCTTTTATAAATGGACTAAAAATTCGAAAATAATATTTCTCAGTCCCATAGAATTTCTTTTGATAACTTTTGATTTTGAAATTTTAGCCAAAGTCATTATAAATCATTTATGAGATTGAAAACGAAGAGCGTAGTGCGCATGCAATACAAAGCATTATATTTAATTAACAATAGTCAAACTACATAACATAGACCTAAAATTTATACAGAAAAAGTACAGATTTGAGATCGAGTTTAAGCGGCCGTTATTCATATATCCACATTCATACATATCGACTGCTGAGTGGAAGATCGACCTATCTCGGCAGCCAGTTCGAAAACGCCCTATCTCAAAAAACTTTAAAAGAACGCTCTATTTCAGAATTTTATTGAAAAACACCCTATCTCAGAATTCGGTTCAAAAACGCCCTATCTCATTTCAAAATGTATTGAAAATTTGATGAGATAGGGCGTTTTGGAATCAGCAGCTGAGATAGGGCGTTTTTGAAACGAGTTCTGAAAGAGGGCGTTCTTGAAAAGATTTTTGAGATAGGGCGTTTTCAAACTGGCTGCCGAAATAGGTTGATCTTCCACTCAGCAGTCGATATACTTACATATCGTCGCTTAAAGTAAAAAACCGCGTATCGTCGTTCTGCAAAACCGCGTAACTGACATTTTTTGCCAAAAATTGGATTTGCTCACACAAGCTCTTGGCTCAACCCTTATCCATTCGTCCTGAAATGGGATTTCTTTGTAAAAAAGAGAACCATTTTGAAATGTGAGTGTTTTTACTCTCTTCTAAATAATTTATGCAACCTCACATACGCAGTTGTGCATTTTGTTGATACACGGTTTTGTACTTTAAACGACGATCTGTTAGCTGTTTATCGGAGGGCGGTCTGTTCAAGCC